CCTTCCTTCCTTCCTTCCTTCCTTCCTTCCTCCCGCTAGCCCTTCCTTCCTTCCTTCCTTGCTTCCTCTTCCTTTCTTGCCTCAGTCCTTCCTGCCTTCCTTTCTTCCTTTGCTCGTTTCTTTCTATGTTCTTTTTGATGCATTTGTTCTTTTTTGGTGCATGTTTGTTTATTTCTTGATGCATTTTTATGTTTGTTTTGATGCGTCTCCCATCTACAGCAATCAGTAATCGAAAAAAGGTCGTCGTGCCTTCGCGGAGAAGGCCTCCAAGGCTCCAATGTCTGCGACCGACATGCGGCTCTTGGGATTCTCCCGGAAAACACCGCGCATCGTCTTCACCAAGTCATTTCGATGCCCTCCTTGCACGTCCTGCCACACGAAAAAGAAACAAAGGACAAGACATATCTTGTCAAGCTGTCTGAACATGCTCCTAATCTAACATTCATCTACTGCATCACAAACAGCAGTTGCCCAATGGAAGATTAAAGTCCTTTCCAGAGTAAGACAGCACCAACTGATGCACATAGTCTGTGCAAAGGAGCAAGCATTGCTGCGCAATGTGGTCGAAGTTGTTTTCATCATCTGGCGTAAGGCCAATGATGCCTCAATGCCAAACGCACAGGAGTGCGAGAGAGGGTAACGCGGCAGAGATTAGAAATGCATGCACGCGCCAAATTGTTCTAAAGGTCTGAGGGCGGTTGCCGTTCAAGCTTGTCTCAAGGATTACATGGATAAGATCGCTTGCTGAGCCCGTATAGTTGTACGGTGCTATTTCGTGCTGGTGCTCCCCACCTTCCTGGCATCCCTGGAACTCCCCTCTGTAGCTGAGGCACTTTCCACGGTACCAAGGCCGCAAAGCAACTCAACTAAGCACACGGCAATACTCCAAGTGTCGGCTGCTGTCCCCTCATACCCCTTGCTGCAGCTGCAGGTCATCACCTTCCACCACATCTTCTTCAGGCTACCCTCCCCACAGATCATAGCTTCTTGTTCCTAGTATATAACGATGCCCTTTTTTACTAGTAGCTTCTTGTTACTAGTAGCAAGGCCAGGAGCTACTAATAGCGTCCTTGCTCCTCCCCACAAGCATATGACATACATTGACATGAAATCCGCACCTCTGGGGAGGCAAAGGGCACCGTGCCACAGGAGTCGTGGAGCTCCTGACCCGGTGCGACCTGCACAGCCAAGCCAAAGTCCACCATCGTCACGCGGCTGTTGGCGTCGATCATCATATTTTTGAACCTGGCAGGGCTGGTTTTTCGCTGTGAAATGCCCATCGGTTCCTTGTCTGTCTTGACAAAACTGTGACAAAAGTCTACTTCAATGTCTGTGTCCATGGCCCTGTCGGCTACACCACACCATGAGACTGATCCGAACACGTTCATTTGACAAATGCTGCATGCTTCCAAACGCAGGGGCCAGCTTCGAATCAATGATTCAACTGGCAACTGAGCAGCTATTGCATTCAAGTGCTTCTTGCAGGCACAAATGGTCCTTCAGCCAACTGCATACCAAGACACTTCAGATCACGGTGGCAAACATGTGCTGCATGACAGTGGGCGATGGCTTTCAAAATATCTCCAAAAATACTCTGCACCTTGGAGTAGAATTCTGCTTGGCACACGAGCTCAACAAATCAGGCAGCACGGGCAACTGCAAGGATTGCAAAAACAGTCACTGAACAAAACAGAAGTTGAGACTCGACTCTCCCGGCCTCCTGAAATGGGAGCATCAGTACATTGCGGGCCGACCCGGTCTGCCGCAGTTGCAGATATGTGTGCAGAGTGTACTCTCCCAAAAACTGCATGACAATGTACAAGTTGTTCCTGCCATTGCATGAGTTCAGAAGAAGTGTCCACTGCTCTGCAAGTCATCCAGAGTCCACCAGTCCAAACAGGTGAACCGCAGTAACAGGTTTCTCCTCCACCAACAATGAGGGGCAACAACAGAAACATCCTACTCAGCTGCAGAAGAGCATCGCACCGTGCAGGCACGACAGGATCTCAAGAACGTTGGGATGGTCTAAGACACCCATCAGAATGCTGAGCTCTCGCTCGACCTTCGCCAGGTCAAAGACGTTCTTAATTGATGCCTTTTTAAGGGCTTTGATCGCCACATCGCCAAATCTTGGGTGGCGCCCCAGGAACACACTGCCAAAGGCGCCAGACCCAATGACGCGAACAAAGGAGAAGTCTCCAACTCCATCCTCCAGGGTTCTGCTTTCAAACTCAACACCATTTCTTTTCGGTCTCCCGGCACCAAACGACGCACCACGATCAAAAAAGTGTGTTGCGTCACGTCTTTCAACTTCCATCCTCCCTCTCTTCCAAGGTAGCATCTTCTTGCGGGATATGTGGGAACACCGTTTGAGGGGCTTTCCACACTATCTTCCGCAGCGCAATCTGATAGTGCCTTTGCCAGCGCTGTTCCTGTGCTCGTGCCAGCTTGGCCTGGGCACTCTCAATGGCCTCGGCGATCCTTTCGTGCCAGGCCTCCGTACCTTGAATCGCAGCCTGAAGATGTCGGAATGTCACCGGATGTGTGGGACAGGAAAACAAGACACAATCAGCTCCTGCTGAAAGAACAGCACTGTGAAGCAATTGTGTGGAGACTGGGTCTCGATCGGGGCCTCCCGGGATGGGAGACAGGAAAACAGCTATGACCGCCACAGCCGAGCCATTGGAGGCCAGCTCTTTGCAGGCCGAGAAAAGATCGGTCGCTGCATCTTCAGACGCAGGCCACTCCATGAGGTCACCTCATGGAAGAAAAAGAAACGGTCGTAAAAGAGCTTCTCAAAAGAAGAACAGCACCCTCTTTGTTCATCTCATATTTTCAGACCCTCTAGGTTTAAAAGCAGATCTCAAAAAGTAGTATTTTGCTCAAGTGGCACAGCAGCACACAAGCCCTGAAGCCACTCAAGTCCGCCTGTCCCAAATGGCCGCTGCTCAAGGTGCTCCTCAAACAATGAGATGTGAAAAAGCTTCAGCATCTCACATGGGCTGCAAATAGTAACTAGTGGATATATATATATATACCGCACATATATCGTTCTTTGTCCAAGTGACAAATGAAGCAAGTGTGGCAACACTCTGGATGCTCTAAAGGCATCAATGCTACCAGAGCCGGCCAGGATGAAGCAGCAGACGCCCTCGCCCTGCAGAGTGACATGGCCGCAGGCGGATAGTTGCATAGCTACTACGGCTTCGGAACATTGCTGTGGCTACAAAGTAAGGTCTTGCCGTAAATTGATTAACCTCGGCCCTTGGCCTTCCAGCGCATGCCTCGAATCTGGTGGTCAAAAGGCATTTGCTCCAGGCCTCCGGACAAAGGAAGGTCAATGAGACGTGGGATCAATTGGTGACGCTCAGAATCAGATCACTCAGGGGTCTGCAGGGACGAGAGGTCAAATGAAATCAAATGACAAACCATGACATGCAATGACATGGTGTTGAGACGCAGGCTGTGCGCCCAGTTGACATGTCATGTCATGAGTTTCTTTTTCAAACCAACCATATCCCACCGTAGAGGGTGGGCTCCAGAAGCTTGCAAAAAGCTGCGTGTGGCGTTCATTCGCCTTTGCCCTTAGCTTCGACCTCGTCGTTGCTTCGTGTTCGTTTTGCCGTGGACTTCGTGCGCTACGGCTACTTCTCTACATTGGTAGCGGAGCCACCGGTCTGGTGGCTCCCTGCCTGTGCACTCCGCGACTACGAGCTCTTTGTCCTGGTTGAGACCTACGGTGGGTTTGACTGTTCTCGCTCTTGCATGGTGGTTCCTTCTACCTCATCACTACGCCCGCGCAGAGCCCTACGTCCCTGAGAACGTCACCATGGCCTCGAAGAAGGCCCAAGCCGCAGGCTCAGGTCAGAACTCGAAAGATGGCACGTTCATGGACTTGAGGGACAGTTTCGTGCCGCTGTTTTCCGGCCAGCCGGCCGACTACCGTGAGTGGAGGGCTCGCATCCATCTTTACCACAGAAAGATGGCATTGACAAAGCGGTCGACAGAGAGTGTGCTCAACATCGTGGGCTCCTTCACCGGTGTCACTTGGCGTTTGTTTCAGGATTGGGGGCATGAAGAACTAGAGAAAGGAGATGCCTTTGAGAAGGTCATCGCCACCCTGGATGCAAACTTCGCCTATGACACCAAAGTTCAGTTGCCCACTGATTTCGAGTCATACTTCAATTTGCTGCAACGCTCCCCCGGTCAAACACTGCTGTTGTTTGTTGCCGATCATGAAGAAGCCTATAGAAAGTTGCAGCAACACCGCATTGAGCTTCCTCCCTCCGTTCAAGGATGGCACTTACTCCGCCGTTCTGGCCTCACACGTGAACAACGACAGCTCATCACCCTCCGTGCACCCAACCTGGAGAAGACTGAGGTGATTGAGGCGATGTATTTGATCCTGGGTCAGGACTACAAAGGTGGAGGATGGAATTCAGAGCGGAACCGACGATTCGGAGGCCACTCCCCTTCCTGGAAGCACCGCGCCTATGCTGCTGAAGACTATGAGGAAGACCCACACCAGGAGGATGAAGAAGATAAGTCTTGGGCCGATGATCCACAGTCTCAAGACTATGACCTCTACGATGATGGCCAAGACTTTGACCACGATGCCGGTTACTATGGTGAGGAAGATCCCTGGCCCGAAACGGAAGAGCAGCAGAACCCTACACAGATGGCCGCCGCCTATGATGCTGCTTTTGCTTCCTACACGGACGCAAGACGACGGTTTCAGGAACTGAAGACAGCTCGTGGATACCTTCCCATTGTGGCGCTGACAGATGGTGGTGGTACTTCACCTACGGCTACATCACCACAGTCGCCTACTTCCTGGAGAACAAAAGGAAAAGGGAAGGGTGGCTCCAAAAGTTGTAAGTCCAAAACCACAATCCGATATCCACCACAAGGAGCTGGCAAATCAGACCCCAAGGGGCGAGCGAAGGCCAACATGACCTGTCTTCGCTGTGGGCCAGCCAGGCCACTGGGCTGCGAACTGCCCTCAATCGTCGTCAAGTCCTTCGGCGCGATCAGCTGGTGTCAAACGACCTGCATCGACCACAGAAGCCATGGCTATGACTCCCCAAGCTGAGGAAAGCGCCTTGTTGATCTTCCAGGATGCCACAGGAGCTGAACGTCCTGAGTGTGTCATGTTGGACTCAGGTGCCAGTGCCTTTCTTTCGGGATACGGACCTTTCAGAAGGTTCCTGGACCACTTGCGCTCCTTGGACTTCCCGATCGACAAGATTAAGATGAGCAAGGGCCGGCGTCGCTTTCAGTTCGGTGGTGACGCATCCTTGTGGTCCGACTGGTCAGCTCATGTTCCCACTTTCGTGGATGGCAAGTATGGCACCATCGAATTGTTCCTGCTTCCAGGCAACACGCCCATGCTATGCGGAAGGCCGATCATCGAGGCCTTGGGCATGACGATGGACTTTGCTCAACGACGCCTTCGCATTGGAAGCTCGCCCTGGATGCCGGCCACTCTTGGTCGCCAAGGTGAATACCTATGGTCCCTCACCAATGAGCATGACAATGTCCACTACCACCCGGAGAAGCCGGAGTTTGTGCTCAGGACCAATGACCAGGGTGTTGAACAAAATGATGGCTTCCTGCTCAAAGACTTCATGGCCGAGGAACATGGCTTCACCACCTTCGAGAAGACTGATGAGCCATTGCATTCTCCTTCTACCCGGCCTCTTCGAAAGCATGAGCTGAAGACCATGGACACACAGTTGGCCACTCAGCTGAATGATCTGTCTGCATATGTCACGAAGGAGCTTCACCGTCCTGAACGTCCTCGCATCCTATGGGAGGTCTATTGTGGCAAGGCACGCACTGCTCAGCTGGCTGAAGGCATGGGCATGGAAACTCGCACTTTCTCCTATGAGACTGGATGGGACTTCGAGTTGTTGAACCACCAGGACGAGTTCCTGCGCCTTTTGGAGGAGGAAGCCCCGGATGAACTATTGATGGCCCCAGAGTGTAAACTGTGGAGCCGCATGCAGTCTTTGGGTCGCAGAACTCCAGCACAGCAAGAAGCACTGAAGGCGGCTCGGCAACATCATCACGATCGGCACCTGATGTTCGTGAGGCGTGGCTACTTGGCTCAGGTCAAAGGAGGAAGACATGCCACGATTGAACAGCCCAAGAACGCCTTGTCCTGGAACACCCGCGCACTCCGAGATCTACCAGGACGCCGTGCAGACTTTTCCCAATGTCGATATGGCGCTCAATGCCTGGACACTGATGGAGCATGGAAGCCGGTGCAGAAGCATACGTCACTGCTCACCACCAAGCGCTCAGTTCAAGATGCCATGTCTCTACAGTGCCAGCATGACCACGAGCATTGTCCTTTGGAAGGGGCAGCACCTGGTCTTGGTTCGAGAACTCGCTACTTGGAGGAGTATCAGCCTGCGTTGGCTGCTACTCTTGCGGCCGCCTTGGCTGTCGATGAGCCTCCTGCCTTCTGGGAGACTGGACATGCTGCCGAAGATGAACGTGAAACCACCAGCTCTCTGGTCAAGCTACGAAGCGAGACCAAGCAGGACGCCATTCGCACAGTCCAGCGCCTGCGCCGGAATTTGGGCCATCCATCACCTCAGGCCCTGGGGGAGCTACTGGAAGTTAGAGGAGCTTCCGAGACCATTCTGCAAGCAGCCAAGTCCTATCGCTGTCTGGCTTGCGCAAAGTACAAGAAACCGGCTCAGGCCGCTCCAGCATCTATGCCCACGACAAGCCAATTCAATGAGGTGCTACAAGCTGACGTCATGTGGCTACGTCGTGGCACTGTGAAGTATGCCATCATGAGCCCGGTGGACAGTGCACTCATTCAGTCAGAGCACACGGAAAACTATGTCAAGGCCCTGGAGCGCACCTGGATTGCACACTACGGTTCTCCCAGCACTTTGCTCACCGATGAGGGTCGTGGTTGGCTCAGCTCGCACATGGATGACTGGACAGCTGCTCATCAGATCAAGCATGTTGTGGCGCCTGGCGAGGCTCATGAGCGTTTGGCCATCGTGGAGCGGCGACATGCCGTCATTCGTAAGGCAGTTGAAGTCTACCTCAACGATCTCCAGATGGATGGACCTGCTGCTATCCAAGAGGCCCTGAGCTATGTGATACCACAGCTGAACAGCATGCCAGGCGTTGCCGGATTCTCACCTTCACAATGGGTGCTTGGTTATCAACCCTCGCTCGCTGGCGACCTGTTGTCTGATGCCACTCAACCTGCTCACTGAGGCAACCAGACTTTTGAAGAGATGCTCACTAAGCGTCATGCCGCTCGCAAAGCCCTCAATGATGCAGATGCTGACCGACGCCTTCGAAGAGCACTTCATTTGAGGTACAAGGGCATCAACTCAGAGTATGCCCTGGGCCAGCAGGTGTGGTTCTGGAGGGACGCTCGACAACCTGACTTAGTCAAGATTCGTTGGTTGGGACCTGCTCAGGTCGTGATGAAAGAGCGTCGACCCAACACAGAGGACTCAGAAGGTCCTGTCTCCGTGTACTGGCTCGCTTACAAGACTCAGCTCATTCGCTGTGCACCTCATCATGTCCGAGCCGATGTCCGAGACCTCAACCACTCCATCGAAAACACGCGAGATGCCTTGAACCTAGTGAGGCAGTTGAAGTCGAGAGGAGTCACTCGGTTCTATGACCTTCATCGAGTCAACCGGCAGAATTTGGCCGATGTCGAGGATGATGAACAAGGCGAGGGCGCACAGCTCGACACGGAGTCAGAACATGAAATGATTCCTCCCCGCCGCAGACCTCGGCTCACAATGGATCCACCTCCAGCTCCGTCTGAGGCACCGCCAGCTTCACCGCCACCAGATGAACCAGCACCAGCCCAACCCGTGGCACCAACTGCGCTGGAAGAAGGCCCAGCGGCAGAGGCAACCACATCGCTACCTCCGGTCCCAGGCGATGATGATGAGGTGATCTCCGAACCCAGCCAGGAACCCAGTGAGGAGCCGCCAGTGGCACCTTCGATGCCCTCCACACCGGCACCACGACCTCCAACAACTCAGCCGCAGCCCACGTTGGATCC